GGTGTTCATTGGAAGGACTGATGCTGAAGCTGAAACTCCAATACTTGGGCCACCTGATGCGAAGAATCGATTCATTTGAAAAGACCCTGATGCTGGGAAAGGTTGAAGGCGGGAGGAGAAGGGGACGACAGAGGATGAGATGGTTGGATGGCGTCACTGACTCGATGGACAGGAGTTTGAGCAGGCTCCGGGAGTTGGTGATGGACAGGGAGGCCTGGCGGGCTGCGGCCCACGGGGTTGCAGAGTTGCACATGACTGAGTGACTGAACTGAGCAAACGCACAGGCGTCTTTCCAAGGCAGCAGCAACTGTGGGGTCAAGCCCTTCTGCAAAGTGACTGGTTTTTCTAAAAAGATGTAACCACCACACAGCACAAGCTGATGTCTGTTTCAGGGATGCAAAGGAGAATTCTGGGCACTGCTTTAATCCCAGAGCCTCCCCGAAGAAGTGCTCCAAGCCTGAGAACTCCAAATCGTGTTTCTCTGGCCCTTACAGAGTATATCCATAGGGTGAGGGGTGGGCAAGGAGCACAGGGACGCTGTGAGCGGATGCGGTGACCCTGGGGTAATCGAAGCCCCAGATGTCACAAAACCTGAGCACAACACATGTGGACTTTATGTCAGAAGTGAGACGGGTGATTCGATTCTTCTTATACTCAGCATGTTACTCACTCAGCCACAGAGTAATTTTCCTCTTAAAACCTCATACCCGTCTGCTTCTAAGGCAGCAGCATCCACACATACAACGGAGATGCACACCCTACTCTCCTCTCATTCTACGATTCAGCCCCAGTGTGGGCCTTTTCTAGCAATCCAGCACTCACTGTCAAGGTTACAAAGACTCAACTCTAAACATGACAGGAAAAAAAAAGTCTGTAATTAGCAGAATCACTTGACTTTCAGAGATCAAGAAACAGACTTCCCTCCTCTGGACTGAATCTCCATTTTCCAAAGCTGAAGAGATGAAGACATTTTCAAGGAAGTACCATGCCCTGCCACTGTGAAACAGGAAATGGAAGAAGGAAAAAAAATGATTTATAATACAGTGAACTTTTTTTTTTAAAACCTTCAAGAGTGTGAAGCAAAAGGCATCAGAGAGAAGAGCCCATGGTCTCCGTGTGCTGGACCCTCGGCCGTGTAAAGCCCCCCAGACATCTGAACGAGGAAACGTCGGGGTCAGAGTCTGTTAAGAGGATTTCGGTGAGGACTCAGCAGAGGTACCAAACTGCCCCGAAGCTGCCCAGTCCTCTAAGAAAAGAAGCACCGAACCCATCAAACAGCAAGTCGCTACACGCAGCTCGCGGGCTGTGATCTCAGGAGCACAGCTGATAAAAGCAAAACCCGGTTCCGTTCATTGGGGCAGTTTCGCCTGCTGATCTTCCCGGCTCACACACACGTTAGAGGGCAGATGATGAGGAAGAGGGTGACTAACTGGACAATGAGCAAAGGGTTATGTAAAAACCCAGTGGTGCTAAGTGCTGACACGGGGGCCATGAATCAGAACCCGCCTGCCCCGGTTCACCTTCGCCGTCTCCTAGCGACTTCTTCTACAGGCGCCCCCACAGCCTGGGCCTCCCGTCTGCTCCCCTGCGGCCCATCCGACGCACGGCACTGCTGACTTCTGCAGACACGCCTGCTTGCCACGCCTCAGTGGCTCCTCGGTGACAGGGAGCAGAGCTGCTGGTGTGGCCACAGCGAGTGGCCAGGCCACCCTCACCCCCGCCCCCCTGTGCCACCTGCGGGTGGCTCGCCGCCCCCCGCCCCCCAGCAGAGCACACGGGCTGGACGTCACCCGGCCGCGGGTGCCTCGCTGCGGCCTTGTGCGGGGGCAGCCGGGCCAGAACTGACCCAGCGCCGAGGCGGGGGCAGACCCGAGAAGCAGTGCCAGCCACACGCAGAGCGCCCACTCACCCTCCACCCCCCAAAGTCCATTCTGAGCCAGCTGAGTTCCTTTACCGGTACGGCAGCTGGAGGCGGGACCGGTGGCCTGCACACGGAGCCCCCAAGTGGGGCGGCCTCTGCTGCGGCAGCGGCGCCTCCCTGGTCCCCCTCCGCCCGCCCGCGCAGGCCCACACTCTTGCAGAGACCTCCCCCACCTAACAGGGCCCAGTTCATCCCCCCTCATCCTGAGACAGTCTGCCCCCAAACACCTCCACGCCCCGTCCCGCTGGGTGGAATCGCTTACATTCCCCCTTTATGTAGTGTAGCTGGATGCTCCTCAGTCACACGTCTCAGCATATTTTATGGCGATTACTTGCGTGGGTATCTGTCTTACCAGCTTTTTGAGGAAGCCAAATTTGACCTCAGCAGAGTGCCCGGCTCACAGGAGAGGCTCAGTGAAAGAGCGCCCACCAGAGTGCCCGGCGAGGAGGACAGACAGGAGTCTGACAAGCCCCCCCACACTCACACCCTGGATGGCGCACTTGTTAGACGCTGCTTGTAGACACCCAGCTCTGCAGATTATATTTCCTTCTGGGGTAAATTCTCAATTGCTAATGGCGATTTCCACCCATGCTCTGAAGAGACTGTTCTTTCCCAGACCACTTCAGTTTGTGGGTTTATGTGGGGGGAGCCTCAGGGCTTCCCAGGGGGCACAGTGGTCAAGAACCTACCTGCCAATGCAGGAGACGCAAGAGACACAGGTTTGACCTCTGGGTCGGGAAGATCCCCTGGAGAAGGAAGTGGCAACCCACTCCAGTATTCTTGCCTGGAGAATTCCATGGACAGAGGTGCCTGGCAGGGTACAGTCCACAGGGTCGCAAAGAGTTGGACACGACTGAGCACACTCGCATGGTGGGGGGGACCTAAACCCTAAAGCTAAACCCCACACTTAGAGTTTGCATTCTCCAGCTGTTTCTGATAGTCAGCCCTTTAGAATATTAACAACTCTTTTCTATGGCAACTGTATCTCCTAGTTCATCTGGCTGTCTCACTTTAATTTTTAAACTTGAGAATGAATGTGAAAATGAAAGTTATACAAATGCCATCCCTCAGATCCACTGATGGATATTAAAATCCGTGGGTGAAAGCCTGAAGAGAAACAGGATATTTGCAAAGTTGCAAAGCACCTCCCCCCAATATTTATTAATAACAGAGGACAGCAGTGACCTCACAGTGGAGACACGTGGCAAACAGCCCGCTAACCGAGCAATCAAGGCCCCCGCCACCAGGAACTGGACACATCGCTAGCTCATACCTCTGACAGGAGGCTCAGAGGACACAGCGGGACTTCAGTGGCTTTCTTGCCAAAAAGGAAGAGGTTTTCTTGCTCATCCTAATCATGAGAAAGCACCAGGCAGACCCACAGACGGATGCTCTACAAAGTGACTGACCAGTGCTCTCTCACAGTGTCGAGGCCACGGAGACCCAGGGGAGACCGACGGGCTGCCCCTGATGCAGACCCAGGAGATGCGAGGGCCAAGTAGAGGTGGGCTCCGGGGCCCGACCCTGGCTCGTGAGGAGGACCTTTGAGGAAAACAGTTGAATCTGAGTGAGGTCTCCAGTTTAGTTCAGAGCAGTGTGCCCCCATCAATTCCCAGCGTGCCGAGACGACTGTGGAAGATGAGAGGGTGGGGGGACCAGATGAAAAGCACACGGACGCGGAACTGAAAGGATTATCCGGCGCGCTGCGCAGAACGCCTCAAACTCAGGAGGAAGGTGCACAGAGCTCACTAGAAAAACCAGCACGAGACGTACAGGGCACTTCCTGGGAGGGAGACACCCAGAGCGGGGAGCTCAGGGAGCTGTGGCTGAGCCCGAGGCGCTACGGGGGCCCGGCGTGCCTCATCTCCCCCGGCTCGAGGGGGTGCTGCCGCGCCTCTGCAGCTGGACAGCACCTAGGGCAGAGAGGGGGGGCTTCTGCTGCTGGCACAGGCACAGCCGGCGCGGCTGCTCCGGACGACGACTGGACACACTGTCTGTCTGTCTGTAGGCGCAGACACCCTACCACTGGCCAGTTCCCCTCCTCGGTGCACGTCCTGGAGACCCCTGGACATGGGCACCTGAGGGCGCACGGGAGAGGTCGAGGGGCATTCGTTTCTAACAGCAAAATACCCCAAAGTACACCCACGAGGGAACGGGTGCATCTGGTACACCCACGCGGTGGAAGAGAAGACGGCCGCGAACGAGCAAGGACCACAGCCACGCACGCCGCCTAAATACACGTCACAACACTGCAGGAGTCAGAAAAATACACATAGCAAGAAACCGCTTACGTGAAGTGTGAAAATGGGGAAAACTCGAGACTCTGTTTTTAAAAAACAAGTACATATTATGGCAACACCATAGAGACAGGCAAGGGACTGGTGATGTGAAACTCGGCATCCCGGTTCTCAGGGGGCAGAGGGGTGTGGAGGGCAGTGAGACTTCCAGACACCCCAGGGAGGGGGCGTTCACATTAGCTGGTGTTCCAGTTAGAGGAGAAATCTCAGACCCATCTCTGTAGGCAATTAATGCTGAAGGATACTTAGGAAAAAAACGGGAATGCAGACAGGCCAAACACCCCAAACTTTCCGTTTACAGACTCATGTCCTAGATGAAGCTAAGTGATGAAGATGACCAGGCTTTCTGAAACTTTCAGCTTTAAGAGGAAAGGGGAGAGCCTAGGGGAGCAGCTCGAAGGGCTCACGTGTGCTGCCCAGGCACCGATCTGGGCCATTCACGGTCTGCCGGGCAGGACCCACACGTCACAGCTGGGACGTTCTCCTAAGGAGGCGCCGATTTCCTACGGAGAACGATACTTAGAAAATTTGAGCTCCTTGAATTACGCCAACACTTAGTATTTTAAAAAGCCTTCCTATTCCTTGAACAGAAACATTTATCTAGCCTGAATGAATTAATATAGTTCCTTCTCGAACCATTTACATGGCTTAATTAGCATTGGGTATTTCTGATCTTCAATATCAGGATTTAGAGCAATTTACGGCTCGTTTGTGCTTTCAGAGTTTGTAAAGGGGAATCCCACGAGGTCTGAGCCTGTGCGGCCCAGGAGAGGCTCACTCACCAGCTGGAACTCGCTCCTGCGGCTGAACGCCTCCCTGATGCCGGAGTCCCCCCAGAGCGCGCTCAGGGCGGGCACGTAGAGCTGGAAGGTGGCGGGGTCCACGGGCAGCCCTGCCTTGTTCTCGAAAGCCATGAGGAACATGCCGTGCTTCTCATTCTCAGAGTACTGCCAGGGGATACCAAGCTTGTCTCGTGCATCGACCAGAACCCTCGCGCCCTGGGAAAGAAAAGAAATAAGATTTCAGAGTACTGCCGAGGAACACCGAGCTTGTCTCGTGCATCGACCAGAACCCTGGAGCCCTGGGAATGAAAGGAAATAACACAGAGGGTTCACGGTGCTGCGAAGGCTGAGCTGAGGCGGAGAACACGGCGCGGGCACAGACGGTCATAGTACAGGAGGCTTAGCAGCCATCAAGTCTGCAGCCAGCGTTTGTCCCTGCACTCCCGCGACGCGACTCTCAAGCTTNTAACACAGAGGGTTCACGGTGCTGCGAAGGCTGAGCTGAGGCGGAGAACACGGCGCGGGCACAGACGGTCATAGTACAGGAGGCTTAGCAGCCATCAAGTCTGCAGCCAGCGTTTGTCCCTGCACTCCCGCGACGCGACTCTCAAGCTGGAGGCTTGCACAGACCACATCGCAGGTCACTCATTTGAAAAGGCCCCGGGAGGGAGACGACAGGTCGGGGGAGCAGCGGCCACACACACGCCAGGTGATGTGTGAAGACAGCACGCGCCGCAGCGCCGGAAGAGCCCGGTTTGAGGACAACTCCAGCTGCAGCCCTGCGGCCCTGTCACCACTGGGCCCTGGCAGCTCCTCCATCCAGAGGACGCCCTGCCCGGCCCGGAGCAGTGAACACACAGGGGTCAGGGCCGGGAGACTGAATGGGGAGCGGGTGGGAGCGGGCCACGCTTCAGACGTGCCTGGGAGGATGGGGAGCCGGTCGCACTGTTGTGCCGATTTCCTCCTGGTTAAAAATAAAGTCGGGATTTCCCGCTTTTTCCTCACCTCACTGACAGAGTCCAGGAGGTGCAGAAAGGGCCTGAACTGAAACAGGATGAGGGAAGGCGGCCAAACTGGAAGTACTGCTGCAGTGAGAATGCCTCCCGGGCAGCAAGCAGGCCCGGTCCATCACCCGCGACTCCGTGCTGGCGCGTGAGCAGCGCGGAATCGACGGAAGCTTCTGGGCTCTGCTGGGGGGCCCGCGGAACGCTCCCTGCAGCAGCAGCAGTGGTGAGCCCAGGGGCGGCAGCACGGCCACCCCCACCCCGCCACTGGGAAAGGCCTTGGCTGGCTCAGGGTGGTCTGGGGGACCCGGGACACAGCACCGAGGACAGCAGGACATCCCTGCCCAGCTGGCACGCACTTCTCTGAGAAAAGAACAGCTTTATTGGAGCACAGGTCACACAACGTACAATTCCCCCATTGACTGTGCAGAGCTCAGTGGCTTTCAGTTGGCAGTTATCCTAAAAACCTGGGGCAAAGGAGACGAGTTCTGCCTTCTGCAGATCTCTGCTGGAGCACCTGCTGTGAGCCACAGAGGCGAAAGGTAACCACAGGTGAGGTGAAGGGTGAAGGGGGATGGTGACCCAGATCGCAGCTGCAGCCTCCCCTGCAGAACCGGTGCCCGGCACTGCCGGCTTAGAAATGCCCCTGTGAGCTCCTGCCTCAGGGCCCACGCCCAGTCTCTGATGCACAAACGCGTTTAATGCTTCCTGGGGGCAGACCACTGAGACACACACTGCAGGAAAACAAAATGCTGACGAAGCAGTGTCTGAGCTCCTGAAACTCAGAAGCTGGCCCGGGAGACACAGACATGTGGATTTAAACAATTAGCACCCATTAATAAGAAAACTAGGGCTTCCCTGGTGGTTCAGATGGTAGAGGATCTGCCTGCAATGCAGGAGACCCAGGTTTGATCCTTGGGTCGGGGGTAGGGGTGGAGAGATCCCCTGAAGAAGGGAATGGCAATCCACTCCTGTATTATTTCCTGGAGAATCCCGTGGACAGAGGAATCTGGCGGGCTACAGTCCATGGGGTTGCAAAGAGTTGGACATGACTGAGCAGTTACCAGTAATACAAACTGTCAGAAAACTAGGAATAGAGAATTCTTTAACTTGATAAGGAACACTGACAAAAACCTCTGCAGCGAACACCAAAAATCAACAGTAGAAGACTGAGTGCTTCAGGCAAGAACGGGAACAAGACCAGACCATCCCCTTTCATCACTGCTGTTCAACATGGCTCCACGGTGAGGTGAGGGAAAGAAATGTAAGGTGCGTGGATTAGAGAGAAAAAAATAAAACTAAGCCTATTTGCAGATGAGACAATGGTCTATGTACAAAATCCCAAGGAATCTATCAAAGAAAACCTCCTAGAATTCAAGTGAATTCAGCAAGGTTGCTGGATATGAAAACTGACAAAAGTAAAATGTCTTTCTATATACTAGAAACGTACATGTGGAAACTGAGATTTAAAATCGTAAAATCTTTAGACGTGCCATGCGGCATGCAGGACCTCAGTTCCGTGACCAGGGGTCAGACCTGCACCCCCTGCAGTGGAAGCAGGGAGTCTTAGCTCCTGGACTGTCCCAGAAGCTGAAATTTAAAATGCAATACTTACTATTAACAATCACAAGCACAAAAACTAAACACTTAGGTATAAATCTAACAAAACATGCATAGGGCTTGTATGCTGCAAACTATAAAATGTTGATGAAAGAAATCAAAGATCTAACAAATGGTGGGGCATACCATGTTTATGGGTTGGAAGTGTCAACATAATAATGACATGCTCTCTAAACCGATATACAGGTTGAACAATTTCTATAAAATCCCAGCAAGATCTTTTACGGATATAGATAGAACTATTATAAAATGTATATGGAAAGCACTAGATTAACTAAAACAATTTTCAAACAGAAAAATTAAGTGGGAGAAATGTAATTTCCAGACTTATTATTACATAGCTACCATAAGCAAGACTGTGTGGTACTGGTGATGGACTAGGCACAGAGATCAACGGGACATAACAGAAAACCCAGACATAAGTACTATGGTCAACTGCTTTCTTTTTGGAAGCTCCAAAAGCAATTAAGTAGAGGAAGAATAGCCTTTTTAATAAATGATATTGAAGCAACTGGACATCCACAGGCAAAGAAAAAACAAAATCAAAACAAAACCTTGATCTAAACTTCACACCTTAAACAGAACTGACTCAAAACATAAAAGTACAGCATAGTAGAAAATCTTCAGGGCCCACAACCTGGCGAACAGTCCTTAGACATGACACAAAACGCACGGCTCATAAAAGAAAAATGGCTTCCCCGGTGGCGCGGATGGTAAGGAATCCGCCTGCAGTGTAAGGAGACCTCGGTTCGACCCCTGGGTTGGGAAGATCTCTTAGAGGAGGGCATGGCAACCCACTCCAGTATTCCTGCCTGGAGAATCCCCCTGGACAGAGGAGCCTGGGGGGCTGCAGTCCGTGGGGTCACAAAGAGTCAGACACGACTGACTCACACACAGCATACACTGATAAACTGGACTTCATGGAAGTCAAAGCTTTTGCTCTCCAAAAGACTAACAGAATAGAAAGACAAGCCTGGAACTAGTAGAAAATATTTGCCAACCACGTATCTGACAAACGACTCATATTTAGAATATACAAAGAATGCTCATAGGAAGTAGATGGGGAAACAGTGGAAACAGTGTCAGACTTTATTTTTGGGGCTCCAAAATCACTGCAGATGGTGATTGCAGCCATGAAATTAAAAGACGCTTACTCCTTGGAAGGGAAGTTATGACCAACCTAGATAGCAAATTAAAAAGCAGAAACATTACTTTGCCAACAAAGGCCCATCTAGTCAAGGTTATGGTTTTTCCAGTGGTCATGTATGGATGTGAGAGTTGGACTGTGAAGAAAGCCGAGTGCCGAAAGATTGATGCTTTTGAACTGTGGTGTTGGAGAAGACTCTTGAGAGTCCCTTGACTGCAAGGAGATCCAACCAGTCCGTCCTAAAGGAGATCAGTCCTGGGTGTTTGTTGGAAGGACTGATGCAGAAGCTGAAACTCCAGTACTTTGGCCACCTCTTGCGAAGAGTTGACTCATTGGAAAAGACAGTGATGCTGGGCGGGATTGGGGGCAGGAGGAGAAGGGGATGACAGGGGATGAGATGGCTGGATGGCATCACCGACTCGATGGACATGAGTCTGAGTAAACTCCGGGAGTTGGTGATGGACAGGGAGGTCTGGCGTGTTGCGGTTCATGGGGTCACAAAGAGTCGGACACGACTGAGCAACTGAACTGAATTGGAAAATGCTCAAAACTCAACAGTTTAAAGAAACAAAACAGTCTAGTTAGGAAGTGGGCAAAGACATGGAGAGCTGTTTCACCAGCGAGCACACAGACAGCAAATAAGCAGAGACAAGATGTCCAAGTTCACCGGCCACCAGGGAGCAGCAGACCACGGCTCTGATAAGACGTCACTACACATCTATGAAAACAGCGAAAACAAAAAAATCAGCGACAACGCTAAATGGTGATGAGGAGGCAGAGATATGCGATCTCTAATACACTGTTGGTGGGGATGTAAAATGAGACAGCCACTCTAGGAAAGTTTTTCAGTTTCTGAAAAAAAATACAAAAGAAAAATTAAGGCTCACTTAACATACAATGTAGCATACCGTACAATCTCACTCCTGGACGTTTATTCCAGAGAAACGAAAAGTTACGTCCACACAGAACCCTGTCAGGAATGCTCACAGCAGCTTTACTCACAAACCAGAAACAACCTGGGTGTGTTGATACTTTAATAAATTGTTCAACGGCTCCACCTCCGTGCCACGGAGTACGGAGTACGATTTAAAGATGAAGAGAACGTGCCACTAATGCGTGCAACTTAGACAGATCTCAAAAGAGTGTACCATGTGCTTCCGTTCATGTAACACTCTTGAAATGATAAAACCACAGGGATGGAAGACAAACTAGGGCTCCGGGGGCAAGGGCTGGTAGAGGAAGGGGGTGGCTGGGACTGCCGCGTGCAGCTGCAGGGAGTTCCCTGCGGTTTGGGGGCAGGTCTCTGTCCTGAGGACACAGGTGATCCTGTGTGTCAGAGTCACACACACACTGGACGAACCTTAGTCTCCTGGTTTTGATGCTGCCCTACAGTTAAACAAAATGTAACCCCTGGGGAAACTCAAAGGAGATACCTCTCTGTGCAG